CACCTGGCGCAAACGGGGACTCAGGCGGAGGTCGGCCGAAAACTGCCAGCGCGGCAGCCTCCACATCACGAGCGTCGGCTAGAGCAGGTTCAGCACGTGCTTCTCCAGGCGGGGCGTCCTCCATGGCGTTGCCGTCGCCACTGAGGTCGTCCAGTTCGTCAGACTCGTAGCCGTCGTCGGTGGCAGCCTCATCATCAGGGTGAGCAGGACCCAGAAGCGTGTCACGCGTCTCCAACAATGACCGTAGCGAGCGAGCCAAGCCCGCGTCCAAAGACTGGAACTGCATGAGCAGGGCGAACGCGGGGTCGTTGGCCGACAGCGCGGTGCCCGAGGCGTCGACTGCTCCAGCACCCCCAGCAGCACACTGCGCCCATGCCGCTGATGCCTTGGCGGAGGCGACTCGCTCCTGACCTTCGAGCGACGCGAGGTTGTCCTTGAGCTTGACGAGTTCCAGGACCTTGCTCTGCACGACGGACTCGACCTTCTCGATCTGCTCGGAGACGTGGGCGATCTGCTTCTTGAGATCGTCCAGCAGAGCCTGCGCATACCGCTGAACTGCACGAGGGTCACCAGCAGCCAGGGCACGCTGCGCCACGACTCGAGCACGCTGGGAGGGCGAGAGGAGCCCCTTGCACACCTCGAAATCGTCGTTGGACATGCGCACAATCTTGTCAAGCTGCGCGGGCTCAAGTAGCTTGTGCTTGGGCCGAGCAGCGGCTGACCGAGGCGGCCCGTCAGCCCAGGCACCCTGCGGCCCACGTTGTTGCTGCACAGGAGCAGGCGCAGCAGGCCGTGCAGCACCACACTTGTAGCAAAACTGCTTCCACGAGAAATTCGTTTTGAAACCGCACTTCTTCTTGGGACAACACCACACCTCATTGCGAGCACCGGCAACGCGCTCGCCCATGAATGTGACCTGGCTATGAAAGAATCTGCAAGGCTTGGGCAAGCACAAGCAGGGGATCGCACAATCACTAGCTCACTGTAAGCCACCTCGAGAAATGGTTTACTTGAGCCAAAATGGCTACGGAATTTGTTCCTCCTCCTCCTCCTCATCATCATCATCACACGCATCATCATCATCATCATCATCATCATCACCACCACCACCACCACCACCACCACCATCATCATCATCATCATCATCATCATCATCATCATCATATCATCATCATCATCCATCATCATCAATCATCAACCATCAATCATCATCATCATCATCATCATCATCATCATCCTCGTCCTCATCCTCATCGTCATCGTCATCGTCATCCTCATCATCATCATCACCATAATCATCAGTATCATCATCGTCACCATCACCATCACCATCATCAGCATTATCATCAATATCATCATCAGCAGCATCATCACCATCATAATCATCATGCTCATGCTCATGCTCATGCTCATTCTCATTTGCATCCTCCTCCTCATCAGCATCAGCATCAGCAGCAGCATCAATATCAACATCAGCATCAGTACCAGCACCAGTATCATCTTCGTCGCCGCCGCCATGGCATGGCCCTTCTCATGATTATGTTTTTTGTTTTGATGTTTGTTTTTTTTCTTTCTCTCTCTCTCTCTCTCTGTGGCGGACAGAGCGTCATGACGCTACCCCTTTGACTCAAGGATACAAAGGCTCCGATGCAGCCGTAGGAGATGATCAATCTACCACCAAGGACCACAATCGCAAACGCTCTATGGTTTTTTCGAGAACATGCAGCGCTCACGCAATCGTCCGTTCGACCCTAGAGCGAATCCAGGCCTTCGATTTCTGTGCAGCTGACTCTAGCGCACGCGCCTCCGCCAAGAAGGAGTGCACGGGAAGTTCGTGATACGTTCACGCTGTAACGAACAGCCGAATTTCGCCGCGGAAATCGCCTGTAAAGTTTGCACCCTACGACCAAGTGCTGGATGAACAAAATGTCCTCGTCCCAGCGTAGGAAAACGTAGCCAACTTGAAAGACAAGTCTGGGGAGGATGCTCTATACCTGTTTCCAGGACTGGCTCCTGTCCATGATAACATTACAGGGCAATCTTTTAATACATGGGATTGTTTAACAATACCGGGATTTTAATACATGCTTAATGTATGGATGCATTTATGCATGAACTCATCGTTGTTTCTAATACTAAACCTGCATTTTAATACATGAACCGCACGCGGAGCATGTATTAAAAACGGCACTGTACATAGAAAATCGCTTCAACATCACGGGTGCGTGGAGGGGGGGCACAGGACAGGATCGTCTCGGTTATGCGGGGAAGCCGCCCACGCTGTCACATGTCACAGGAGCTGTCTACTACTCTGTGCAGCAGCAGGTGCATATGATCGCTCGTCCGAGGCGCCTGGCCGCACGCAACTCGTCGAAACGGCTGGCTGCTAGGCAAACCAGCCTGATTCCTTGATGAGATCCACAGTCCATTAAGGACAGCTGCCTTAGCTGGAAGTGTTTGGCGAGTCTCGAGGTGGAGGTTGGATGGCCATGAGGGAGCTCTCGCCTTGGCGCGGGGGGCATGCGGAAGTTGAGCGGTCACTGGGGGAGTTGGGATGGGCACGGGGAAGTTCGAGCGAGGTCTGGATCGCTGGAGTGCACTTGGCGGCTGTTGCCGCCGATTCCAGGGCTGCTGATCATTCTTGCGTGCCCTCTTCGCCGCTGTTCGCGGGTCTGCCCCAGTAGCTGACCTGAGAGCAGGACGCGCCCACTCACCACCACCACCACCATCACCACCACCACCACCCTCCTCCTCCTCCTCCTCCTCCTCCTCCTCCTCCTCCTCCTCCTCCTCCTCCTCCTCCTCTTCCCCTCCTCCTCCCCGTCGTCCTCGTCGTCGTCGTCATCGCCACCATCATCATAAGTAGCATCACCATCACCATCGTCATCATCATCGTCATCCCACCTCCCTCTCACAGCACGCGTTCTTCGACATTATTAAACTGGAATCCCTCACATTCCCTCCTCCTTCCCCTGCCCCCTCCCTCTTCCCTCCCTTCTCCTCTCCTATTATACTTCCCTCCCTCCCTCCTCCGCCTCCTCCTCCTCCTCCTCCTCCTCCTCCTCCTCCTCCTCCCCACGCCACCTCCTCCTCCCTCCCCGCCCCCATCCCTCTTCCCCTGCGCACCTGTTTCCTCTCCTCCTCCTCCTCCTCCTCCTCCTCCGCCTCCTCCTCCTCCTTGTCCTTCTGGTCCTGGCAGGACACCCTCCCTCCCCCACTCCTTCTGGAAAAAACATCTCTCCTCATGCTCCTTTTCCTTATCCTGCCGGGAGGAGCGAGAGGCGGAAGGTGCACAGTTCCCTCACCTCTCGCCTCCTTCTCCACCACCTCCTCCTCCTCCTCCTCCTGCTCCTCCTCTTTCTCCTCCTCCTCCGCCTCCTCGTTCTCCTCCTCCTCCTCCTCCTCCTCCTCCTCTGGTAAATTCCCGCCCTCCCTTCACCTCCCTTCTTGTTTCTCCTCCTCCTCCTCTTCCTCCTCCTTCCTGATCCCCTGTTCCCAGCTACCTGTTGCATGTTACCTCGGGTACGGCGTTCGCATGATACCCTCCTCCTCCTCCTCCTCCTCCTCCTCCTCCTCCTTCACATCCCCTTGCCGCCCTCCTCTGCATCATTATTCCATCCTTTTCCTTCTTTTCGCTTACCATCCCCCTCCCCCTGCTACGGCTCCTGCTCCTGATCTTTGTCCTCTTCTTCCTCCTCCTCAAATTCCTCCTGTTGCACCAGCGGGTCGTTAGGGCGGGTCGCGTCTTTCGCCTGAGACTTGCTCGAATTATGTGATCTCGAAGCCTCGGATTTCAAACAGTTATACGGGTGGAGCGCATATGGTTTCCAACATTCAGCAATCGCTTAGGCGCCGCGCACACTCGTCGGAAACAAACCAACCACACGCATCGGGCGCGGTTCGTTTTCAAGATGCTGCTCTCGCCTTGGCGCCGCGCGCACTCGCCTTGACACACACAATGGAACTCGTACGCAGGGAGGGCGGATCCTCGCCGACATGGGTGTCACAATAAAGACTTCCCCTCAGCGTTCGTGACCCGGCTCTTCATACAGCCGGGCTGCTGAGATCAGGAACGCTAGATAGGGAACGACGCCCCCCTGTGGCTTCACCAAAGCCTGGGTGCACGAGAAGGGCTGGAGGAACAACCGCGGAGGGAGGAGGAGGAGGAGGAGGAGGAGGAGGAGGAGGAGGAGGAGGAGGAGCCCCTCCCGGATCCAAACTTTTTTCCCTTCTTTCAGCGCCTTGGCTGCAGGCTGCAGCCGATGCACGGGCGGAGGGCGGCCCCCCTGAAGCTTGGGGGCCCCTCGCCCTCGACCTCCGGGACGCGAGCTCCGCGCGACGCCTGCACGGGCGGCGGGCAGGTCCCTGTCGAAGCCGGGGCTCTCGCTGGCGCCCTCCCGCGCGCCTCGTGGGCCGACCTCTGCGCACGCCCTCTCGCTGGAGGGGCGGCGGGGGGGGGCCCCTGCCGGTCCCGCCTTGAGGCGGCGGGCCCACGGAGCGCGCCCGTCCGTCGAGGGGGGGGGGGGCGGCCTCTCCCCTGGAACGGGAGAGGGTCTTTCAGAGCACGCTGATGCAGCTCGAGTTTACTCTGAGGTCCTCCTCCTCCTCCTCCTCCTCCTCCTCCTCCTCCTCCTCCTCCTCTTCCTCCTCCTCCTCCTCCTCCTCCTGATTCCCGATTCATGGTGGCGGCTGCAAGGGTCGTCGAGCGTGGCTTCCCCCAGGCAGGGCTGGTCTGCCCTGGAGGGGGGATCGGGCGAGGAGCCTGGCGAGCTCAGTCGCTGGCTAGGGCATCCGTAAGGATAGACGGTGACAGGCGACAGGGACAAGGGAGGGAGAAGGAGGGCGGAATCATTACACGAAGAGGACGGAGGAGGATGGGGAGAGCTGGCGGCCTCCTCCACCTCCTCCTCCTCCTCCGCCTCCTCCTCCTCCTCTCACACCCTCCCTCCCTCCCCCCTCCTCCTCCATACCGTAGCCATTTTGGCTCAAGACATTTCCCACTGGTGGAGACATTTCCCACTGGGGGGTCAGAGCCCATGCGCGTCGCCCCGGACCGTCCATTGTTCTCGGAAGACCGCATGCCACGAGATGCTTCCGGCCGGCGCCGCGATGGCTGCTCGCCGAAGCCGGACCTCCGTGCCCCCGTGCGCAGGCTCGGCTATGCGGTCCGAGTCGGCCGCCGTCCTCGCATGGGCGACGTGGCCGCGCTTGCTGCTGTTGCTCATCGGCTTCCTGCTCGACCTGCCCCACCTGGCGCCTGGCCTGACGCCCAGGATATTCCCGCAACTGGCGGCCGAGGCCATAGACATGATGATCATGATGATCGTCGGGCGGCCGAGCCCGAGGCGGTGCAGGAGCGCGCCGCCGCCGCCGGCGACGCCCATGCGTACGGCGAGTGCTTCGTGGGCTCGGTGCCGGCTGCGTGGTGCAGGATGCCCGCCGCGCTGCCGCCCCCAGCCGCCGCCGACGCGCCGATGTGGTGGCTGGAGCTGCCGTCGGGGTCGCCTCCGCCTCCTGGTGCTGCTCAAGCTTCGTGTGTTCCTGCTGCAAATCCGGATCGCGCTCTACGCCCTGCTCCGGATGGTGCTCCGGAAGGTGTCCTGGATCGTGCTCGCCGACTCGTTGGAGCTCTGGATCTCGCTCCGGAGGGCGCTCATGCCGCAGGAGATGACGGGCTCCCCGACGATGCTGCAGATGCCGCCGAGGACCGGCCTGAATTTGCTGATGACTCCGTGGACGAGTCTCATCGCGATTCTGACAGCACGGTCGACTCCGCAGAGTTTGCGAATCCGCGGTCGCTAGGCGCGCGGGTTCCCGAGCGTGCTCCTGGTGATGTCCATGCTCAGGATCAAGCGCCACGCCCCGCTGCTCTGGATGGTGCTCTGGACTGTGTTCCGGATCGTGCTCGCTGCCTCGCTGGAGCTCTGGATCGTGCTCCGGCTGGGGCGCATGCCGAGGGCGATGTCGGGCTCCCTGGCGATGCTGCAGACACCGCAGAGGACCGGCCAGAAGCCGCTGATGACTCTGCTGTTCCTCCTGAGGCTGCTCCGCCTACGGCTGGTCTGCCTCGGCCGTCGGCGATGCAGAGGGTGCAGATCGTGAAGCCTGCCACGGACATCCAGGCGGACGGAGCGGTCCGCCTCCTTACGCAGCACCTGTCAAAGGATTGAGACCGTGCTGTGCTGGAGGGAGAAGGCGACCCCACACTCCCCGCTGGTGCAGGACTACCGGCTCCGGGCGTGCGAGCTGCGGCGCCTCGTGGATGAGGCCGCAGGGCGGCGGGCCGCTCTGGACCCCAGAGGCTCCTCCGGTGCCCCCTGTTGTATGCTCGGCACAGCCTCCGACGATTGCGTGTAGATAATCGTGCTGCTGTGTATCTCTACGTGTGATGCGCGGGTGCGAAGATAGGAGGGAGGTTCGGAGGGGGTTCGGGATGGAGGCGTCTCCCCGCGCGGCCCGTGCACTCTCGCGAGCATTGCTCGACTCGATGAGGGCCGGCGAGCGCGAGCGAAGAGGGAGTAGGGCCCAGGTCTGCGTCCCAGCTTTCCCCTCTCCTCGTCTTCATCATCATGTCTCTCCCTCGCTCCCTCCTCCCGAGCGTCCAGTGTCCGGCCGTGCCGTGGCGGTCGCTCCTCGTGCGATTCGAGCCGATGGCGGCCAAGGTCTGATGCTGGATATGGGGCGGGGATGTTTCAGGACCGTTGGGTGAAAGGGTGATTGCGATCCTTCCCTGGGCGGGCCCTGCCACCCGTGCCGACGTGCCGTCTGCCCCGTCGCAGGGTCACGAGCAGGAGGTTTTCTGGTTGCGTCCCAGCATTCTTCTCTCCTTCTCGTCTATTCTCAGCATGACCCCTCCCTCCCTTCGCCCCTCCTCCCGAGTGCCCTGGACGGGCACAACATGCCACTGTCGCCACTTTAGCTCTGCCGTCCAGCTGCCAGTAATAAGCGGTGGGGGGTGAGTGATGAGGTTTTGGGATGGTCTGGACTCCTTGCTTCGGTTCGACGCGTTCCGTCCGCTCTGTCGCGGGGGTCCCATCGTACTCTCCTCTACTTGTATACTTGGTGCCCGTGTAGAAATTTGTAGTCTGACTAATGTTCTGCTAGCTGCAGCGCCGCTTAGTCTCGACAAGCCGTATGCTTCAGCGAGGAGCCAATCCAAAAAAATCCTCCTCCTCCCCGCTCCCCCATCCTGGGACATCCTCCCCCTTCCCTGCCCTCTCCTCTTCCTCCCCCTCCTTCTCCTCCTCGTCCCTGTCTTCCTCCCCATCCCCTCCGTCTTCCCTGCCTCGTCCCACTCCTCCTCCCACCCCTCCTCCCGCTCCTCCTCCTCCTCCTCCTCCTCCTCCTCCTCCTCCTCCTCCTCCTCCTCCTCCTACCCTCCGACACCTCCTCTCAGTCCACCTCTCTTACTCCTCATCCACCTCGTACTCCTCCTCCTCCTTCTGCTCCTACTCCTCCTCATCATCAGCATCACCATACTAATCCTCCTCCTCCTCCTCCTCCTCATCCTCATCATCATCATCACCATCACCATCATCATCATCATCATCATCATCATCATCATCATCATCATCATCATCATCATCATCATCATCATCATGACCATCAGCAACATCATCAACACCATCATCAACACCATCATCACCATCACCATCACCATCACCATCACCATCATCATCATCATCATCATCATCATCATCATCATCATCATCATCATAATTACCATCATCATCAAAATCATCATCGTCATCACCATCAATATAAGCCATCAATGTCACGAGCACCATCTTCATTACCACTCGTCATCATCACACGCATCACCGTCATCACCGTCATAACCATCACGAACACCATCATCAACACCCTCGTCACCATCAACGCAAACATCCTCATCGCCATCATCATCATCAACAACAACATCATCACCATCGTCACCACAATCATCCCCATCATCGTCATTACCACGATTCGCATGTATAATCATCGCCACCATCATCAGATTCAAAACCATGACCATCACCATCACCATCAACAACAACACCATCGTCATCATCGACATCATCATTCCGTCATCATCATCACCATCATCAACATCATCATCATCATCAGTATCTTCATGTTCATCATCGTCATCACCACCATAACAAGCATCATCACCATTATCAACACTATCATCATCACCACCACCATCATCATGCTCCTCAACATCAACATCACCATCACCATCGTCATCAACAACATCACCATCATCATCATCATCAATCTACCCGTCATTATCACGAACACCATCCTCACCAAACGCGCCATCATCACAATCATTACCGTCGTCACCAGCACCATCACCATCATCACCACACTCCTCATCACCACGATCACCACCATCATCATCGTGACCATTATCACCATCACCAGCATCAGCATCATCATCAGCAGTATCACCAGCATCGTCGTCGTCATCAGCACCATCACCACTATCACCATCGTCACCACCATAATCAGCACCACAGTCACCACTACCATCACCATCACCATCACCATCACCATCACCATCACCATCACCATCACCATCATCATCATCATCATCGTCATCATCATCATCATCATCATCATCATCATCATCATCATCATTGCCATCACCACCATCACAATCACAGGCATCATCACACTCATCAGTATCACCATCACCTTCATCTGCAACAGCATCCATCACCGTGCGCATCATCACGATCATCACCAGCACCATCATGGCAATATCAACACCATCCTCATCCGTCCGCCACCGGGGTACCCCTGGAGGGAGGGCCTCCCGCTGCAGATTGAAGCCCTCCCCGTACTTCGCGTCGTAGCCGCCGGGCCCGCCCCCGGAATCGCGGGCTCTCCACCAGGCGGGCAGCAAGCAGAGGCTGCAGGGCAGCGGGGGCGCGCCGCCGCAGCAGCAGCCCCCCGCGCCCACCTGCCACCACCACCCCTCGCTCCTGGCTCCCACCACTCCTCGCTCCCTCCTCCCCCCCCTCGCCCCTGGCTCCTGCTCCCGCCTCCCCCCCGCCTCGCTCCTGGCTCCCACCGCCACCCCGCTCCCCGTCTCCCCGCCACGACGACGCCGACGCCAACGGCTCGGACTCAGACGCCTCCGACGCCGACGGCGCGGACGCCGACGGCGCCGACGCCGACCGCGGCGACGCCCGACGGCGACGACGAGGGCGGCCACGGCGGCGGGGACGGCGACGGCGGGGACGGCCGCAGGGACGCGGGCCGCGGGCCCGCGGAAGGGGGGCCGGCGGCGCGGCGCGCGGCCCCTGCTGCGATAGCACGTAGCGAGGGGGCGCGGGCGCGGGCGGGGCGCTGGAGGCGGCGGCTCCTCTCTTGGGCGAGGGCGGCGACGGCGGCGATCCCGACGGCGGCGCCGACGACGTCGACGGCGGCGGCGACGGCGACCACGACGACGGCGGCGGCGACGGCGACGACGACGACGGCGACGGCGACGGCGACGGCGGCAGCGACGGCGACGGCGACGGCGGCGGCGACGATGACAACGACGGCGGCGGCAGCGGCGGCGGGCAGAGCGAGGTGGAGGGGGGGCCTCCCCGATTTCTCCTCATGCGCCTCCTGATGCTCGTCGCCCTCACCCTCGCCGTCGTTGCCGCCGCTCCCATCCTTGTCTTTCTCGCCCTCCCCCTCCTCACTGCTGCTCTGCGCGAACATCTGGCAACGGAGCCGCGTCTATCACCTCCTCCTCCTCCTTCTCCTCCTCCTGCTCCTTCTACTCCTCCTCCTCCTCCTCCTCCTCCTCCTCCTCCTCCTCCTCCTCCTCCTCGCGCACGAGGGATTGGCAGGCGGAAGCGGGGCGAGAGGCAGGGCGGGAGGGAACCGGAGGAGGGAAGCCGAAGCAGGAGCTGAGGCGCACGGGAAGTGACTGGAGAAGGCAACGCCCGGCAGGCTCGCTCAGCAGTACCTCGTTTCGAGCGGTGCTGCGGCATCCCGACATCGCTCGGACGTCCATTTCCCGTGCATGGTTCGGTTTCGTGCGTGTTTTTTTTTGCTCGATGGTCCAGGATCGTCCCCAATGGTTCTCGCTGAGAAAAAATGCACACGTCCGAGCGATGCCAGGGGCATCCCATGATCAGGAGGGGTGCGAGGGGACACGAGGAGGAAGGAGGAAGCGTGAGAGAGGAAATCGTGAAGGAGGAAGGGAAAAGACGGGTGGGAGGGAACAGGAGGAGCAGGAGTGGGAGGAAAGTGGGACGATGAGGATGCGAAGGGAAAGGAGGAGGGGGAGGATGAACATGGGCAAAAGAGGGATCAAGCGGAGGATGATGAGGGGCGGGGGAAACGATCGGAGAGGAAAACAAATAAACAACGTAAGGAGGGGGAGGAGGAGGAGGAGGAGGAGGAGGAGGAGGAGGAGGATCGAGGAGGGAGGAGGAGGAGGTGGAGGAGGAGGAGGAGGACAGGATGGATAGAACAGGTAAGAAGAGGAGGGGGAGAAGAAGGATGACGAGAGTAAAACCAGGAGGATGCATCAACGATGCTACAATATAGCTCACGTTTCCCATCAGAAGCCCCTACACGCATTCCGTGCCACTACGGGGAGCTCCCCCTTGCAAGACGAGCGCACAATGCGCCTGCCGTTCAGGCGGAACCCCCGTTTTGAAAAGCAGTCGCCCAAGGAAGGGGGGGAGGTGAAGGACAAAGGAGGGGAGAGGAAGGGGGGGAGAGGACAAGGGAGGGGAGGGGAAGAAGGATAAGGGATACAGAGATGATGCGATGGGGAGACGGGCAACGAGGTAGAGACGAGTGGGCGAATCCGCCGACACCCGCTTGCCAGGGGTGAACAGGTGTGAAAGGCACTTGGCTGTCCCCTTCCCCCTTTTCCCCTCACCTGGGGCCCGGAAGCGTGATTTCAGGGTGGGGTTTGGGGTGGCGGGGTGAGCTCAACGCACCTCCAGAGCCCTCGGAACCTCCGAATCCACCCTCCGTGGCCGGCAAGGTGCCCAAGATGCGTTCCGAGATGGCTCCGGAAGGGGGCTCCAACACCCCCGAGAGGCCATCAGTTTTGAACGCCCAAGCTGGCCTCACGACGACCCAAGAAGCCCCAAAAGACGCCCCAGACCGCAAGAGGACCCCCAGAAGAGGCTCAGTAAGCAACAACAAACGATGGTGTTCCACACGTGTTGTTTGCGCTGTATATACATACATTAATGCATGACTGTATGAATGACTGAATGAATGAATGGAATAATGACATAATTAATGCATGTGTTCATACATGCATGCATGTACGCACGCACGCAAGCATGCACGTATGTATGTGTATGTGTATGTGTGTATGTGTGTACGTGTGTATGTGTGTATGTGTGTATGTGTACGTGTATGTGCATGTGTATGTGTATGTGTATGTTCATGTGTATGTGTATGGTATTTGCATGTGCATGTGCATGTGCATATGCATGTGCATGCGCATGTGCAAATGCATGTGTATGTGTATGTGTATGTGAATGTGCATGTGCATGTGTGTATGTGTATGTGTATGTATATGTGCATGCGCATCTGCATGTGTACATTAACATGTCTATGTAGATGTATATGCATGTGTATACGTACACGTATGTATGTGTATGAGTGTGTATAAAGGTGTATATATGCGTGTATGAATCTGCGTGTATACATTTGTGTGTATGAATGTATAGTTGCATGTTTGTGTGGGATTGTATGTATGTGTGTATGCATGTACGTACGTATTGATGTGTGTACGCGTGTATGTATGTATATATATGTGTATATATATAGATATGTCTGTATGTATGTACGTACGTCTGGATGTATGTATGTATGTATATGCATGTATGTACGTATGTATGTATGTACGGACGTGCGTGTGTAAATATATGTAAACATGTATGTGCATGTGCATGTATGTATGGATGCAGGCCTGTGTGTACGTATGTGTGTATGTGTGTAGATATGTACGTACGGATGGGTGGGTGTAAATATGTCCATGGATGTCTGCATGTATATGCGTAGCGGTATGCATGTATGTATGCATGTGTGTAGGTATGTAGATCGGTATGTATGTGTGCAATCATGGATGTGTGTATGTCCGTGTGCATGTATGTATGTATGCATGTATGTATGTACGTATGTGCGCACGTATGTATGTATGCATGTGTGTATGTATGTATGCATGTATGTCTGATTGAATGCATTTATATGTGCATGTATGTATGTATGTTTGCATGTAGGTATGTACGACTGCATGTATGCATGTATGTATGCAGGTATGTATGTATGTATGTATGTATGTATGTATGTATGTGTGTATGTATGTATGGGCGTGTCTATGTGTATGGATGTGTGTATGTATGTGTGTATGTATGTATGTGTGTATGGCTGTAGAGGTGTATGTATGTATGTATGTATGTATGAATGGATGGATGTATGTATGTATGTATGTTATGTATGTATGTATATATGTATGTGTGTATGTATGTGTGTATGTATGCATGCATGTATGTACGTATGTATGTATGTGTGGGACGTCCGAGCTCTTGCCATCCCCGGCTTCTGAAAATCGAAGACGGCCCGAGAGGCTCCCCAGACCAGCCCACGGCGGCCACGACGACCAAGAAGGCCATCGAGAGGGCACGAGAGGGGGGGAGCATGCAGGGAGCACTCCCTCACAAGATGGCCCCTGAGAGCCCCGACGTGCCCCGCAGAGGCCCCCCCAAGAAGGCCCCCAGAGGGCCCGCACTCCAGGAGCCTCCAAAGGGCTCCAGCACGCCGCCCCCTGGGCCCCCAGGAGGCCCCCAAGAAGCCCCGCAACGGCCGCGGAGGAAGAGGAGGACGAACTCACAACTACACGCAGACGACACAACAGGAAACGGCAAACAACACCTACGGAATGCACATCTCCTCTTACGGGGGCCAGTGGAGTTGAGTAAGTAGGCCTCCTGATGTGTCAATGGGAGTAGGCTGCTGCAAAAGTCTACTCAATTAAAATTGCCACCTTGCCCGTCTGCCTCTCGGGACTCGTCGATGTCTTCGTCCTCCCGAACTTGTCTTGGATTCCAGCATGGCAGCCACAACCATCACGAACCATCCCAGCAACTTACACATTTGCTTGGTCGAGGACCGTAGAAGGGTGCCCGCAACGGGCACCCATTCTTTCTCCGATAGCGCCCGTCCGCGCACAGGTTCTCCAGGCCTCGACGATTACCTCCACCAACAGTAGGCTAAGGAAGCCGCGTGTTGCATCCGTCAGCCCATCCCCCACCCATCAGCACGGCCGCCGATGGTCAAGCGCTGGCGTCGGCGCTGCAGTCGGCTTTCGATCTTATGGTCACTGACACCACGCACGTCGTGAGCGATGCTGCTACCCTGGTCACGAGACGACGACGACGGCGACGACAACGACGGAGGCTGCAACGACGACGAAAAAAGCCCAAGACGGCGACGACGGAGACAACAACCACGACAACGACGACAACGCCGACGGCACATGTCGATGATGATGATGATGCTGATGATGATGACGACGACGACGACGACGACCACCACGACCACGACTACGACGACGGCGACGGCGACGACCACGACGGCCACGAATGCCACGCGACGGCGACGGCCACGACGGCGACGGCGCGACGGCGACGGCGGCGGCGGCGGCGACGACGGCGGCGGCGCGCGACGGCGACGGCCACGACACGCGGCGCCCGCGGAGGCCGCGGCGGGCCCCGCGCCGGGCAGCGGGGCGGGCAGCCCGCCGGGCGGGGCCCCCTCGGCGCAGGGGCTGGCGCACATGGCCAGGGCGGGCTGGTCCTCGCCGGCGGCGGCGTCGTCGTCGTCGCCGTCGTCGCCGTCGTTTTTTTTATTTTTCTTTTTTTGTTCCTTTCAACCCATTTGTTTTTTGTTTTTTTTTATCTTTTTTCTTTTTTTTTCCTTTCAGCCCCTGAAGACGCTCCAAGGCGCAGCAGCTGACAGCAGAGCGGGGCGAGCACTGCTGCAGGACCGTGGAGAACCCTGCGCACACGGCCGCGCGGGAGGGTACGGGGAGCGCCAGAGGCGATGGCACTACACCGCACACAGGCCAGGCGGCAGCATTCAGACAGCGATTCAAGCCGATCCGCCGCCGAAAACGATGCTTCGAGCGCGGAGAAAAAAACAACCACGTGAAGTCGATGCGGGTTTTTGGGTGGCTCTCCCGGCGGCTCTCCGCCGCGGCGGCTGGGCCGAGGCAGGACAGAACCACCTCGGAGGGCGCGCTTCGGCTGCTGATGCTGAGCGGGTCTGGGCGCCGACGGCGACAACGCGGGCGCCGGCGACAACCGCGACGAGGACCACAACGACCACGACGACGACGGCGAACGACCACGGCGGCAAGGAAGGCAACGCGACGACGAAGGAATTTTCAACGCCTCCTCACTCCTCAGGATCCCGGAGAACTCCCCCAATAATCCGAACAGCAGCCCGAACAAATCTGAAAATGTCCGACGGAAACCTCTGACTGTCATGGCGAACCGTGAGGTTCTTAAGGAAACACACCTCGTACTGTCATGGCGAACCGTGAGGATTTCTGAAGGAACGTGCATGGATGCCCACGTGACGCCGAACGATTTCTCTGATAGTCCCACTGGCTTGGTCTGGGATTCTTCAAATTTCCGACGGGTACCTCATTATACCCTGATCCATAATAGTGCGGCGGAATCCTGCAAGCTTCCTTTGGTGCCCAAAGGCTCCCATGATGGAACCTTGCTGGTGCCCGACAGACTCATAACGTTTCTGCAGGGGCCAACACAAGGCCGACGTAATCGTCAAAATTTCATGGCAATTCCGAGCGATGACGTGGAAACGTCAAGCATCTTGCATACGGAAGGATGTCGATGCACTCCTGAAGATTTCCTCAAAAGAACCAAGGGTGCTCCTCCGGACTTCTCAAGGATGTCCTCGAATGCCCTCAATTCGCCCTAAGGGGCTTCTAAAAGACCCCACGATGTTCGAAGGAACCCCTATGATGGCCAAACAAATCATTGCAAGAACTTGGGTACGCGCACACACATACACACACACACTACGCATGGAGCGCAACATCCTTAGAGCTTCTCGAGGAACCGCGCAAGTTCGTCAGGATTCTGGTAAACTTCCTGAACCGTCCAATTTAACGCCGTTGGATTAAGCGATCCCCGAATACTCTGAAGGATGCCCTGGGGGATCCGAAAAATGTCCTGGAAAATCCTGCTGGTTTCCACGGTACCAGATATTCCGTCAACTGTTCGAATGATTTCCTCAAGCAGCAAAAATTCTGCCCAGAAACATCAACAATCCTGGGTGACATCCCTAGGGTCCTCGTAGAACCAAGAAGGATATCTTTCCTACCCCTACAGGTGTCGCCAGGATCCTCCAGGGACTCTTAAGGAACCCGAAGGATTCTCCCATGGGCCCCACGGTACTCACCAAAAATAATCTCAATCATCCCAGAAAAGGGGTCATAATAGTCCCCTGCGGCCCCACACACATCTCAGGAATCCGAGGGAGTTGCGGAGGAATCAGAAAGGATTCCCCTCGGATCTCCTGACGATTGATACGGGTCCCAGCAGGAACCCACCAGATTTCCCACGGGAGCCTAAGGACATCTGCAGGACTCCACATGACGCCCTCTGGAGCTATACATACGTTTGGAATGACCATCGAAATTATGGTTGGCATCCCAATGGCGCGCTTGCGGATCGTAAAAATGTCCTGTGAAGTTCAGAGGATTCCCTAATACGTCCTCAGGACGCGTGAAGCATCCCTCTGGAACCCTGAAAACTTCAGACTATAATCCTAGGAAGGTTCTGTAAGACACCTCACGGAACTCAGCGGTACTCCTTAGGATGCAGAAAACGCAATCCTCAGGGAGTCCTGAAAATTCTGGATGATTTCCTCCTGAGGAGTATATTATGGTTTCCT